GCCTTCACCCTCCACTCATATGGGCTCGTCGGACTACCAGGACGCGCTACGTCGTCATCTACTACCTTTTCTGGCACGTTCCTAGGAAGGAGAATTTATCTCGCAACAAGAGAACGTGGCGCCCCACGAGAGGAGGTGCACAAAATCATGGGTAGAGGAACGAAATATAGTCGTCATGAACTACCCTGATACTTATTCATAGAGTATCTGAGGCATGTTTTTTGGAGATTTTCACCCACCAGGGAACAACCTCTGATAGTGTGAGAGATCTCAAGATGGCAACTGGTCAAGCATGAGATTGTTTGGATGTGCAGTTGCTATATGGATTAATTGAATCAATGCCAAATCGAATTTTTGAAATCGCTCTTAAACATACATAATCAATTAATTATTAAGAAGTTGTTATGTGTTTGTTTTCATAACAAATGTATTAGATTTCCCGGGTGCGTCTATTCTTTTGATACAGCCAAAATAATGTTCATCTATTTGAAAATGCCGAATTCTTTTCATTTCACGTGGAAGCTGGTAAACATAGGTTTTCGCACATGCTGATTCAGATGGTGATAAGCCGATTTGCCAAGAACATCTGTAGAGTGCAGCCATGGAATTTTAGGGGTGCGTCTGTACATATGATACGCACTGTATAGTCATCTTATATAGACATCTTATAATTAACACGGACATTCATGCTTGTCAAAATTCAACTATCGTCAGTACAGTTTAATCCTATTTTATAGTAAACCTCTTCCAGCACCTTGATAGTTCCATGGTTCCAATCTAAATTTATCTCTAATTGGAAATATTTCTCCAGTAGGATAGTTAACATGGGAGCTAGGGTCAAGGGCACATTCTGCAATAGTGTAAGTATGGTTATTGCTCTTGAAAATGAAAGTTGACGCGGAAACCGAAATCGAAATCGAAAATCGAAATTACTGTAAATACAGGCCACCTTTCCCACAATGAACAAGTCAGTATCACAGACTGACACATACAGACACTGGCATCGAGGCGAGGGAACATACTCGGAAAGGATAGAGCATGGGAAGCAGCGTTACGCAGCCACCACCACCGCAGCACTCGCAGTCGTGGGGGAAGGGGGGGGGGAAGGAAGGGCTGAAACCCACGTGTACGACCGAAGCGAACCTGGGCTTGTGGTGCCTTTGCTACAATGTTTCGCGCTGTCTCATCTCTGCGGTCGCGGATACAGCTACCCTGTTCAAGGTAGTGGTTCTCTTTTCAGCTTCGAAGTGGAATTTGCCTCTAAGCCCGACACTGTGAGGATTTTGTACTCCGTGAGACGTCCCCTTAACCATGTCTCTATCAGAAACACTATATCCCTTCCCTCAAAAGACTAACGAGAGCTTCTTCTTCTTCTTCTCCCTAGTGTTTAGTCCCGCGCAGTCGCAGGGTCCAGCGTAGTATCTGTCACCGTCCGTCCACTTTGCTCTGTTCCAAGGCCTCTTCCATTCGTGGCCAGCGACTCTCACCTAGGTCTTTCTTGATCCACGTCTTCCACACTTTTCTTCGGCTCCTCGCGGCGCTTGCTTGCTACTTCGAGTCACATCCGCTTTCTAATCGGATGTCTTGTGTGACTCCTTTAGTCACATGCCCATACCATCAGCAAGACCGCTGCTTCTCAGTTACCTTCACAAACAGGCAGTCTGCCATGACCGCCTCTGACTGACGTCCCTCGTTCTACACCATGATCAACCGCGTCAGCCGCAGACCATCTAAGATCACTCATGTTCGGCATAGTGGAGCCTGTCCTTTCCTGATTGCTTGTTCAAAGGCCCACACTCTCTCATCTGGGCGTAAGCATCCCTAGTGTTTAGTCCCGCGCAGTCGCAGGGTCCAGGTAGTTCTGTCAGCGTCGCCCTTTGCTCTGTCCAGGCCTCTTCCGTAATTTCGTGGCCGCGACCTCACCTAAGGTCTTTCTTGATCCACGTCTCCACACTTTTCCTTCCGGGCTCCTCGCGGGCGCTTGCTTGTACTTCGAAGTCACATCCGCTTTCTTATCGGGATGTCTTGTGACCTCCTTAGCACATGCCATACCATCGCAAGACGCTGTTCTCGTACTTCAGCATAACAGGGCAGTCTGCATGACCGCTCTGACTGACGTCCTCGTTTTACCATGTCAGCCGCGTCAGCCGCAGACCATCTAAGCATCACTCATTTCGGCAGGTGGAGCTGTCCTTTCCTGATTGCTTGTTCAATGGCCAGAATCTCTCCGCGTAGAGCATCGCAGGCCTTAACCACTGTCCGGTACACCCTTTCCTTTGAGCGCTCTGGACCACACTTCGCATCGCAGAGTGATCCAGTGGACTCCCTCCATTTCATCCTATGCAGCGTTGACCCGAGCCTCCAACCGTCCTGAATCCACACTACCGTCGGCTGCCAGATCACTCCCAAGGTATCGGAAGTCCTACACCCGTTCGATGGTCTCACCATGGCCGTCTACGATCGACTCTGCAGCCTCTTCGGAGCTCAGGAACTTGGTCTTCTTGACATTCAGCCGTAGCCCACCTTCTGTCAGCTTGGCTTGAAGTTCCTCTCTACTATCAGCTATCAAGGCGACGTCGTCAGCATAGAGGATAGTCTTCAATGGTCCCTCCATGAGCCCCTTCACCAGGACATCCAGTGCTGGGAGGAAGAGGAACGGGCTCAGAGCTGACCCTTGGTGCACCCCGACCGTGATGTCCACCTCCTTCGTTAGGCCGTATGGGGTGCGTACAGCTGCCTTGGATCCTTCGTACATATCCCTCACCAGAGAGATGAGGTGTTCTGGCACGTTTCGTTCCCTAAGCGACCTCCATAGCACTGCTCGCGGTAGCCGGTCGAACGCCTTTTCCAGGTCGAGGAAGGCTAGGTAGCAAGGCCTGCACTTTTCGCGATACTTCTCCATCACTTGCCTGGCGATGAAGATGGCATCCGTTGTAGACCTTTCCGGCATGAACCCGAACTGTTCGTGGGAGATCTGGACAAGGTCCCGCAGTTTGAGTCGACCAGGCGCTCGTACAACTTCATGGTATGCGCAGTCAACTTGATGCCGCGGTAGTTGGAGCAGTCCATCGCGTCACCCTTCTGCTTGAAGATGGGGACGATAGTGCTTGTTCTCCAGGCATCCGGCATCCTCCCTTCGGCAGTCACCGTATTCAGGAAGCGGGTGAGCCACTTCACCCCGTGCTCTCCCAGGGCCTTCTAAGCCTCTATGGGTACTCCATCCGGACCAACTGCCTTTCCAACCTTCATCTTCCCAAGTGCGCGCCGAATCATCCTCTGTCCGGAGTGCGATGGGACCAGCTGTGGCCTCTACCCATGAGTTGTTCTCGTGGGAGAACTCCTCGTTCAGAAGACCTCTGAAGTATTCTTCCCACCTCCTCCGCTGGCTTCCTCAGTATGGCGCCGTTGTTGCTCTTTACGTTCTTCACCACCCTGATATCTTGAGTAGCCCGATGCCGGGCTTTGGCCAGTCTGAAGACGAACTTCTTGCGTTTCTGCTTTCCAACTTCTCGTACAAGGCGTCCAACTCCGTGGTCTTTGCCTTGGCTACGGCAGTCTTAGCGAGCCTCTTACAACTTTTCTAGGCAGCGAGGTCTTTCGGGCTCCGGGTCTTCCGCCAGCGCTTGTATGCTTCCTTCTTCTGTTTCGCGACTCGCTGGACCTCCTCGTTCCAGAACCACGCCGCCTTGTCTCCTCTGAATCCACCTCGCGTCTCTCCCAGTACTTCCTTGGCGCATCGTAGGATGATCTCAGCTGGAGTGCCCCAAGCCTTCTGCGCTGGTCCCTCAGGATCTGGGAGACCAAGTTCCATTATCCTTCGCTTGAGGTCACTCTTCTCTGCACGGTGCAACTTCCACCACCTTATTCTCTTCTCGATTCTTACCTTTGTCTTCTTGGGGAGCTCCATGGCTATGTCTGCCAGGAGTGGCTTGTGCTGGGAAGCCAGCTCCTCGCCAGGGAGTACCTTGACGTCCTTCACAGTTCTCAGAGGGATGATCTTTTTACCAGCACATGGTCTATTTCCGTTTGTCGTCCTCCACTGCTGTAGGTGACCTTATGAGTCTCCCTTTTCGCGAAGAACGTGCTGCAGACTGCCAGATCGTGGGCCGTAGCCAGGTCTAGGACCCTTTCTCCCTCGGCGTTCCTCACTCCTATTCCTCTACCTCCGTGCACCCTTTTCGGGCCTCTTCTTTCACTGCCTACGTGACCATTCAGATCACCTGCTATGGTGAGGCAGTCACTTTCCGGAATCGTTCTGATGGCATCGTCAAGGCTAGAACTCGTCCTTGTCACTTTCGGGCATCCGGCTTGCGGTGCGTACACAGAGAGTATGGTCCAGTACCCCCCCTCCTCGTGTCTATCCTCACAGCCATGATCCGATCGCTGATCCTGTTCCCTGCTGAGACATGGTCTTCGAGCGTCTCCGCTATCGCTATGGCCACACCGTTCCGCTTGGTGTCTTCTCCATCGTAGTAGAGCTTGACACCTTCCCCGATTTCCCTGGCCTTAGCACCTTTCCATCGCTTCTCCTGAAGGCATAGCACCTGGATGTTCCTGCGCGTCATCAGGTCAGCAACCTCCCGGGACTTTCCGGTTAGCGATCCCACGTTCAGCGTCCCAATTCGAACTAGCTTCTTTGGCCGAGGCCGTTCACTCCTCGGTGGCCCTCGCACACTGACCACAGAACTCGGGCGGGGGTTCTGCGCGCCACTTCTGGGTGACGTCCTAGGATTAACACTGATTCTTTTGCGACTTTTGGACTAGTTGGTGTGACTGAGGTGTTCATCAGCCGGCCTGTCAACCTGGGCCTGACGCTGGTACTAGAACCATTTTTGCAATTTTTGAAAGGCATGGTTAGCCTCGGCACGGATCGAACTTGCGGTTTTTGGAGGTGCAGACAGAGCCTAACCTCTTAACCACTCGGCTATCCCTGTGTCCAAAAGACTAACGAGAGCAGAGAATGATAGAGCAGGGAGCAGAGAGTTCTGTTGAATACCCTTTCAGCGGAATACCGTATTCGAATATTCTCGATAACTTACGTAAAAGTAGGAGCCTGCCACGGGCACTCCGAGAAATTTCCCAGTTTCTCCTGTTAGAAACTCTGTAAAGGAGGTGTAGTTGGCATGGAAGTCGCGCCATGTCTGCGGATTTCGCATTGTTAGTCGAACCTTTGTTTGAAATACCAGAACGATGTAGAGCTTACGAACTGAATGATACTATTATTAGTTTTGACTTGCTTTTGTTTGTTATCTGCTGTTTTTGGCCGCAGTTCGCCTTGCGAATGTTTCGCAAGAATACTGGGTTGTGAACAAAACTTTCGCCCCAGACGGGACTGGAACTCACACCCCTCGTTTTGCGGACAAGTGCGCTATCAGTCGAGCTACCGGGGCACACGTCCCGTGTGGGGCGGAAGTTTTGTTCACAACCCAGCATTCTTGTGAAACTATTATTAGTGCTTCATGAAGCATATTGCTGTGAAAGAAAGTACTAATGGCTAGAAATGTGGAAAATTCTAACCTTGTTTTGTAGATATCTGATCGTTTTGTATCGTGAGAACTCTGTTCATATTCCGGAAGAATATGCCCTCGTCCCATGCTGGCACTGCCAGATCAATTTCTCTGCTTAGCGAAGATGGTCGGTTGTAGTAGAAGTTCATCGCTTCCGGATTTCCATGTGGATCTAAAAACAAATTTAGATGACATGTTCCCGCTTAAATGTCCCGCTATTGCGCTTCAGAAGCGGAAGATATTCGGCGAGTTACATTTGTTGACTATGTAGTGACACCGACCACTTTGAGTCAGTAGTAGGACAGGACAGGGCCCATGTCAACATTCCAAGACTTGGCTGTGTGGAAAATTTTCCTTGGATAGGGTATACGGGTCTGCGTCCAGAAAGGTAGTGCGACCACTGCAACCTGAAAGACAGTGGCAAGGACACCAGGGGCTGGCTGGATTAAAGTGAGAGTTTACGATAAAGAGTGTGCAGCGTGGAAGTACATGCACCAGTGGAAGCAGTGGTCAGGGGCCAAAGAAAGTGAAATCTGCCCTTTTCGTGGCCAAGGGTACGCTAGCTGTAGCGTACTGAGCTAACCGTTCTTTTCTGAGCTCCGCCACCGCCTGTGTTCGCCCTCAACTGCAGCGCCTTTCGACTTTCATTTTGATGAGGTACTCCACTTTGAGTGCGTATCCTATACTCCCCCATGGAACGCGTTTCCCGTTAAAGCAATGGCCTTTGTTAATGTGATGGTGGCTATCGGTTTAACATGTGCAAAAGACTTCTTAGTGGTTGCTAACTCGTCCATTATCGGAGGTCAACGGGCAAAGAAAGAGGTCCCATTTTGCGCGTTCTCGACGGATTTCTTTGCTTTTTTTCGCCACTGGACATTATTTAGCATCCCCACTTCCACCATGTACACAATCCAACCTTATCATATTTTCTTGTTTTGAAGTTCCCACGGGCATTACCTCCTCTCCCCTCTCCCTCACGATTTGATGTGTTGGCGTCCAAGTCTCCCTGTTTCCGCAATTCTCCCTCGTTAGTCCAAACTAAGTCTTCGTGGAAGTTTACTTCACAGACTATTTGTAACTCGCGCAACACCAAAATGGAACATTGCCGGTGGCGATTTCACTCTTTTTCTCTCCGGTAGTACCCCTCTACAATCAATCTCGATCGAGACGGGGACACATTTTGTAATCAGGTTACAAGTTCTGAACGAGAGCTGTTGCTGGTACCGTTATTTCAGAAAGGATAAATAATAAGGTGGTTCAAAACATTTCGAATTGCCAAAAACCGTCGTTATTTCATCAACCAAACTTTGAAAAAAAAACGAATACGTCCAAGAAACGTAGGTAGAATAGATTTATAATAGATATTTTAGATGAATGAAGTATTGCGCAAAGGTAATCGATAAATTGTGTGGCTTTCAAACGTATTTATAAATGCTCCACGAATTTGATTCTATTGAGAAACAAAGCGTTTTGGAGTCTTTAGTAATATAACAATGGTGATTCTTCGCTCCTCTAAGGTGAGTCTGTAATTCAAAGGCCCCAGATCCAAAGCAGTGTGGTACTACACACGAATGCCAATGTATTGGTGCGAAATGGTCCGGCAGTAAAGCAAAAAGAAAAAGAATTTGACGGAAAACAATTAGGTTCACCCTTTTCGTCCCTGGCGGGGGAAATGCCACCCTCAAATTTAAATGTTTGCATTATAGCTTCAGCAGTATATTCTTACTACCTACTCTAGAGACTACTACGGACGACCTTCCCATCCCTAATTATCCTCTTTATCCTCTGAGCCTGCTATTTTACTGTGTTGCCGTTAGCGTTACAAGTATTTTTGTACAAATGCAACGTATCGGCGCTGGTCTCAGCAAGTCGCTTTGTCAATCATTTCTAAAATACTTGACGCGTACTCAATTTCTTATCAAAAGCGTTTGATATGATGTTGTGCAAGACCATTTCCACCCAATCCACATATCTAAGAAATTTGGAATTGTTTCGACATAAGCTAAAAAACTAAGAAGCTGTGACAATTTTAAAAGCTTTCTCGTTTTCAAGTTCGTGACTGAATAGCTTTCAAATTTCACTACAATGGTATTTATACCATTATAGTGTAAGTAATAAACTACAAGTAATAAACATTACCAAGAAGAAAAATTTTTGTCCATGGAAGAAAAATCAGGTTCAAAAGGGTTATGGGCTCAGTCTTCTCCAGGCAAGGCTGTGCTAAGGCAATGCGAGACTAAGCGCTGAGAGGAGAAATTAAAGGCGATATTCGGGATAAAATAGGTGTCTAAAAGCGTTCAGTCATGATACTAGAGGTGGGAGGAGGTCTATAAAAAAAGAGGAAAGCAAACGAAATCACAGATTACGCCCCGTACAGAAACCTCCCCTATTTCAGCAACATTCCACCTTGGGATAGAGAAAAGGCGCGTTGGACGAGTTTCGCGAGCCTGACTCTAGTTGCTCCAGTGCCATTGAACAAGGTCGCGGTGGGACCGCTGCCTCAAATGCACCCGCGCTTTTCAAGCAGCGCCACGTGGCAACGGACAGCAGAGGGTGGGGCTTGCGGACGAAAGTGTGAGTTGCAGATTGGACGAGCTGCTGCCTTTGTCGCGCACTTTTAAGCGGCAAAAGGGGAGCGACAACAACACTTGTCCGCCTGCCTACGACCCCCGGGATGGAAGAGGCGAGCGCGCCTAATCGCTAAGCGTGCCTTTAAGCGAGAGAACGCAACAGATGAGACTGCGCCAAACAACTGCCTAATAAAAGAAAAAATTTCAGCAGCAGCTCAATTTGCAAGGCCATTGCACTTGTGTCGGATGATTTCTTTGCATGGGAATACCACATCTGTGATTGTCTTTTCGGAGTCTAACCTACAAACCGAAGGGAATGGTTTACGCGACTTCAGTCTGGGTTGTGTCTTTAACGCACGCCTCACAATCGGAAGAAGGAGGAGAGGCTTGGGTGACATGCTGGAAGTAGATTCCACGGACCATGTATGGCATCGATAGCTTCATAGCGTCGAAATCACCGCATCGTACCAATATTTTGAGAATTATTTGCTCCCCTGGGAGTAAACACATTTTTGCCCTTTCGGATGTCCTTCAAAGTAGGCTGGTCGATCCATCTGAAACAGGAACTTCACATAGCTCAAAAATGTGGACTAACTGTATAATACGAGAACATGATGGAACTCATGGCGCATCTGATCGTGCAGCAGTACGACCTGAAGAAATAAACAAGAGTACAGATTGGAATAAAGTTGCAGTGCCTCTGTAAACGGTGAGTCGTGCTTTAAATGACTGTGATTGGTGCGTTGCCATCAGTCGTAAATCATCCGTATAATCGACATAGGCAACAGTTTTTTTCACCTGAGTCCTAATAAACTCTAAATCTTACCTTTTTGAGATAAACTGGCTTCCTGAAACGGTACGGTAGCATGGAAAAATGATCACCAGTTCGAATTTCCGGCGGTATGTTGGTACTTGTAGCCGAATGTTCATTAAGAACAATCTTAAGTGAAACTTTTGCATGAACTTTCATTTCAGTATGGACAGTATACAGTACATATGTACGTATTAGTGACCTACGTAATCGATTCCACGTAAGGGGGCATGTGGTATGATGGACGGAGAGATGGACGTTACATAGAATAATGGCATAGATATGTTCGCAGACATTTTATTAATTCCGACCTTCGTTTCGTAGAATACTGAAAATTTGTATTTGTTAAAGTCAGTGATTTTTGGCGCGAACGGCTTACATTGTAGGAGTCAACACATCCGTTGAACTGTGCTAATTCAATTCGAGAGCTATTCTAGCAGTGAGAATTGCATCCCGAGAGAATTTGGTGGAGGGGAGGTGGGAGCTGTTCACCAGGAGCACGACCAAAGGTTTTTCTCGGATTTCGACTAGCCGAGCTCTCCATCTCTTCGAGCTCGATAGCGTGACATTAGTTCCGTCCGAGAAACCTTATCGTATACATCGACTCGGCGAATTATTGTGTAGGCCAAATTGCGTCAAAATGCCACTACGATGCCGAATGTGAATATAATGGGTGACGTATCCAGAATATGTAAAAACAGATTCAAGTCGAATGCTTCACTATGTTCACGTTCATTACATTGTGCACTGCTTAGTTTTCCTTGCTATTCGCTATGCTACCACCGTATGTTATCTCAGAATCATGGCCGTTTTTTTTTCAAATTTAAATCAATTCTGGAGGCCTTTAAGAACTTGCTCTCTTGGCGCGTAAGGAGTGCTTGAAATTAGTCGTTGTTGGTGACGCTCCAATCAGAAGCAGTCCTCGCAGATTCCTCTCCCGCTTCTGCTAGCTCCACCGAGGATGCTTTGATTGAACCTGGTCGTCACCTCGGCTCCTTTCGCATCATTTAATTCCCCTTTTCTGTAGAAAAGCTGAATCGGTGTTCATAAAAGGCTTAGGGAGTGGCGCCTCAGGCATTTCTTACCATTTTCGAATGAATCCAGTGTTGATGTCTTGCAGCATAGGTGCATATTATAAGTAACCAACATCTGATGATTGACTGCCTGAAAGCAAAAAAGTCTAACATTTGACAACCTCACATTAGAAGCGGCGTTGTATTAGGTCATAAAGAATGTTCTTGCGCTTTTGACCTTGATTTTCAAGTGCATGTATCTCGGCTCATTCGAAACTTTTTCGAGCGGCGTAAAGACTCTTAGAATCCACAAACATCTGCCTATAATAGCTGCGTTGAATCGGCCGGTCGTGCGGAATACTAGAGCTCTAAAAACGATGAACCCGGCGGAGGTCGTTTCCGCATCATGTTGGGTTTTGAAGCATAACTCTTTGGAGAAGCTATCCAGGTAATCGAGAAAGTGGCACGTCATAGGCCAAAAGTCTAGCGAATAAAAAGAATTGAGCAGTAATTCGTGGCTCAGCTGGTTCAACTTCTGCAAGATTGGTTGTGCTATATACGTCCGAGCCACCTGTTAGAAACGAGCCGGTTCCTTTATAATGAGGATTATCAAGCATATGTGCTAGACTTCTCGGAGTAATTTGACACATGATTTGACATACTTTATCCACATTAACTCTTCCACCTGGTTCCCAAGAGCTAGGAAAGCCGCTGACCTTATGAAAGTCACCTACCATCCTTCAGTGAAGTTTTACTTTTGTAAAGTTTATAGTGCCTGATCGCGGTCGATCACTTCACCGAAGGTTCGCACGCTGTAGCAAAGAATCCGTTCTTAATCGTGCGTCGCAAATGATCAGAAAGTCAGGTCGTTTTCATGGCATGAAATAAGCTAGAACGCGGCGAAGAACCCTTCAATATGGTGCGTTGGCGCTGCATGCCCTATTTGAATTTCTGGGACTTTCCAGCTCTTCCCGTACAACAAGAAAACATAATGCAGGTGCAATCAGTTTACGAGGAACCCTCTAAATAGTGATGTGCAATCGTGCTTCGACTAGAACGAACTGCTCTTCAAAACGACATATAACACGAAGGCAGCTTGCTCAATTTCGTAGCAAAACAAAGCGTTCTAAAACGAAACATCAAAAAGCGCAAGAACTTCCTTCACGACCTAACAGTAGTGCGATAAGTCACCACTCTTTCCCGGTAGCAATTTCTCTTGAGGTTTCACCTGCTCACATGTGTATTCCTCTGGACAGGCATCTGTCTCGGTCGGGTCACACAAGAGTACTGATGGAATATCATAGGACGACGCACCGTATGGGCAGACTGAAGCAGACAAAAATTGGGAGCACACTATCCTACGTGAGCAACTGTTTTTCGCACACTGCACTGCAACGTGCGGTTGCAGATTTTTGAAGACGGAAATCCACTAACTTGGTTTCACTTGCTCCGGGATTCCTGGTGGATTACTCAGGTCTTGAGGGACATCTGAGCAACAGCGGTAGTCTTTCGTCTGTTTTGAGAAAACGCAAACCGGATTTCGACCAGTACATTCAATAGGATCATGAGGTGTGCATCGAACTCCTGAAAAATCTTATGGCTGCATGGATTTCACTCGATTGTATTGAATATTTCATAGTTCAAGATCTCAAGATTTGATCGTGCAGATTGAAAATATTCCCATGTTGAAAGTTCGAAACCAGAGACCTATGATGTATTGACAAATACACGAATGAAAAGTTCCCTTCAACATGAGCAGTGCTAGAAGATGAAACTAGAGTTCATTGAAGGTGAACCCGTATCAATCCGGCTGTGTTATATAGTGAAAATAACGATTGATAGAGGGTTCGATAGGGCGATGGCATTTCGACCAAACTCTTCTGTACCGCTCTTGAGAAAGACGTGCATCTAGAGTCGAAACGTGGGAGTGAAGGCGACGGCCGAGAGTAACACCAGTCACACTTGCTGACGACATCGTTCTTGTACCAGGGAACATCTAATAATCAAAGGAGGCTGGCTGATCTCGTCTGCCCCTGTGGTAAGGTCGGTCTGCTGTTGAACCTGACGGAGACGACGTTGCTGAGAAACGGACTGATTGCTATTGCCCCATTCACACTCAACACAACGAATATCTCTGAAAGCAGCTACGTGCACCTAATTCGGGAAACCATGATGCACGACTTAGCTCTAGCACTGAGCAGGACGAAGCAGGCGGCCTGGAGAGCATTCAAGAACATCGAGGGAGTAATGAGGAAGACAAAAACGTCCGGCTTCTGGCTCACTACATTATGCAGACCTTCCTGCCCTAGCATTGCATCAGATACTTGGACTGTGCACGGGCAGGACAAGCATGAAGCCATGATCCAGCGCGCTTAACGAGAGCGATGCTGGTAATCTTCTTGTACAGGTAAGTGTAGAGGGAAATCTACAGCTCTGAACTCCGTTCATGATCATAGAATAGGGACGCTGTCGTTTTTGTCAAAGGATCGACGATCTGGAGGGTTATACACGTCATGCAATTCTGTGATGATCGTTGAGCCAGAAGGGTTACTGCATTAATCGGAACTTTAAACGAATATCGGGATGACGAACGGCCCAATGGTCAGACTTCTTCATGAAAAATGTGAACGAATGAGTGTTGAGGTATGCCCTCCAAGCGTGGAGGATCCACGGGAGCACTCTAGTCGCCACAAGAGCGAATGAAGAGGTTACTGGTGTCCGCTAGAGGAACTCGATGGTCCGGACGACATGTGATGCAAATGGTATAAATAACATGTATACATATTTGTAATGCTTCCAAAATTACCGTTGTCTTGGAATTCAGTACATTGTGAGTAGGACGCGAGAATATTCTGTTCATGTGTTTGCCAAGGTTGTTCGCATACTGCAACAGAATATTAAAATCTTACAAGATTAAAGTGTCAAAGATGAAATATTGAAAAGAATGGATGTGAGTGCTAGCCAGCATGTTCCGATTTTCACCCAGTGTAGAATCAGCACGTCCTGCTTTGCCGCAGATCAAAGTTATCACTACTGTAAAAAGTGCAAGATACGATCACGCGGTCACTTACTGTCTGTGTAGATCTCGCCACTGTCGTCGTCCCGAGTAGCAAACGTTTTCAGGGCGATGAGAAGAAGAAATGCACACCGCATTGTGCCGTACAGTAACCACACGATCGCATCTATGGCTTCGTTTCGTGGCGTGACAACGACAATGTTGACTGAACTGATTGCGTTTGAGTGATCATGACCGATTGTTGACCGTGGCCACATCACGGACCATTTCACGTCCAAGCATGAATCGCTTCTTCGTCCTAATGGAGTTGTACTGTGTACTTGTTAAGCGAACTGATGGACAGCCACAGGTTCCGCCACCTGAAAGTCCAGGTAAGTCGGTTATCCATCCTGTGCTTTTTTCGTCGTCGTCGTTTCGCCACGATAGAGACTCAGTATGAAATGTGAGCTTAGTACTCCTTACATTATCATTTTCCTCGTGGCTTGAAGCTTTAAAAGATTTCAGTCTACTCAAGGAGTGATGTCTATTAGTTGTCGACTTTGAGTTAGACTCACGAACTTTTTTTTACTAGAATTGAACCCAAGTGAAAACTAGGATTGCACAAGGAACCTGCACTTCAGGGGAGAAGCCGTCTCATGCAAAGTTGCACAGAGTCAATTCATATATCATCATATATCAGTTCCTTCCTTACCTACAGTATGCCAAATTAAAGCGAACAGTAGCCGAATGAATCTAATGATGTGGGCCTTACCTGAATAGGCCAAGAACAGAAATACTAATATTTTTTTGCAACATAGTTCCCTACTACGCTGTTGACAAACATAACAACAACGAATGCTTGATAATACCGAAAATTCAAATAACCTGGTAACAAAATGCTGAATATTCGAATGCTGTGGAGGATATTAATCTCTCAAATTTCAAGTAATTTTTGAGGTTATTGAAGTTGTGTCAGGTGTTTTTTGTCGGAAACAATAAACGTAAGTTTAAGCACTCGGTAAAACATTTACTCGGATTGCCCAACGTTGGCATCTCTACTATTTTCCTTTTATTGTATCACACTTGTTGCAGACTGCACCCTCAGTTGGCAGTCGCATGACTTAACCTATGTTCCGACTTTATCCCAGTGCTTGGATTATACGGAAGGTCAGTCACTTCTACACACCATTACTTCCACGAAAATCTCTGAACACCTTCTGGTAAGTCTTCCTAGAGGAGTATTCTGGGAAAGTACTGAACACAAGCATATTGTGCGCCCGCGTAATTGCTGCAATTGCCTGTTCATAGAATAGATACGTGTGGCAGTTATATCTGTTTCTTCATGAGAATTCCACTAAATTTTGCTGAAGTGGATTGACAAAGTTAGTTTCTTATCAGAGCATTGATTACTTCAAAGATGATGGCCCTCTTATTTTACAAGTTGGATTTTTCTACTTCGATTTTCTTTTCGGTCGATTCTAGCCTTTCCGATGGAAACCGCCAGGGTGTGTTTTTTAGAGTTATCCTGCTGCTAAGCCAAGCTAGCTTAGTCTTGGTTAGGATAACCAACTCTAGAATTCAGTGCAACTGGCTCTTCACTTATCACTTTTTAACGCGCCGTTCTCCAATATTTTTGATCTCTTACACATACCGTTTTCCTGGGTTACGTTTTTGCGCACCATATTTTTGCTGAATGCACCGTTGTGTAGTATTATTATGCATACTTTTTCTTAATAAGAGTTTTTTTCGTTCCTTGACCTTGTTGAGGAGCCTCTATGGTATGGTGGCAGACAGTGGTTCGCCTGACTGTGGTAGAGGAACCGGGAACGAACCTTTTTTCATAACCTATTCCTTATTGCTGATCTTCATTATTTCCATGAGAGCAACTACTACAAATTAAGTTATAACAGTTTGGCAACAGCAGTCGATAGCGATGGCCAGGAATGGGCATGTCTAGACGAGTTTTTTTAAACGCAACAGATCAGTGCCATGCGGCCATCATATCTATATACCTATCGGTAACCTATTCTCCACATTGTAGTCCACGATACGTGCTGGGGTGGGATGGAGGGTGGGGGAGAAATAGGTATCTCATTTATTTGCTCACCCACTGGCTTGTAGTGCATCGCATTTCTAAGAATGCTCATAATTCTTTCCTTGACCTTTTTTTAGTCTTCTGTCTAATTTCGTCTTGTAATTTCACAGCTTTAAAATTGAGCGACGAAAACAGCCAAAGCTATGACGTTCCGGTATATTCTGATATCGTAGTATTCTAAAATTGCGAAAGGGCTCTCATGTAATTTATCTTAGGTACTGGAGTAACTTGCACTCCCAATAATCCCTTAACCTGCACTGGACGAAATCCTTTTTGTGCTGCAGTATCGGGAAGCACCTTCAAATGCTGCAGTGATCGCATACAGGTGATGTCGCTCCACTAATATCCCACTTTATGCATGTTGTGAGTTTGTTAGCACAACAGCGCCTACAAGTTGTGCAGCATTGAAAAATTGACTTGAATTTTCTATTCGCTTCATAGAAAATTCTGCTCAATTAGCGCAAGTAACGTGTGAGTCGGGTTAACTATAGAACATGAGGAATTGAACTATTGGAGAAGTATTGGGTTGTTGGGAAAGTTCCTGCCGTTTTTAGTAGCTCACATTTGAGCGCTTCATTTCTGAATCGCTACGAGGAAACTGCTACCAATAGGAAATGCATTTCTCGCGCTCTCTAAGTCTGCTGTTCATTTCAGCTTGAAAGACATTTCTCCTCTTTTGTGAAGTCTTGAATACAATACTCAATGGGCTGTTTTGTACGAGTCTCTCGCTTCCTCTCAAATTTGTACGTAAAAGTGCTGAACCAAATCGGAATATCAATAAGCATTTGGTCTCGAATCCACAGAAAACCGGCTGTGCAGTCGTGATTCAAAAGTCTTTCTCGCGATGATAAAAGCCTCGAAGGAGATTAGAGTGAAGGTCGGATATCGGAGATTGACAAAGATTAACTGAGAGTTTTGATCAAACCAAATACTGCAGAAATTCTTGAACAGGCCGCTTTCCAATAAGGCGTAACTGAGCTGGTGTCCCCAAATATACAGGTGTCCAAAGTAGGTCCAAGGAAGTCGAAAGGTTGGTGGCGCTGTCTCTTTTCCCCGCAGTTGAGCAGCCCTCGCACTTCCAGCACTGCTCAAATTGAACTAGCTGAGCTACGAAACTGTGCTGCCATCGTCTTGCACAGCAGACCTCTTCCCTACCAACTGTTCTCCAGCCATCTGGATAGTCTTTTCAAAGAGATCAAACCCCACTTTTGTAGGCAAACATACAAGGACCATAACAGTTTTTATTTTGATCAAAAATGTTTGGTGTGAGCAAAGATATACCCTTGAATTTGAGGGTCGAACCCGGCGGAATTTTCTCGAACAAGACAATGATTTCCCCTCCTGAGCGGTGGTTTCATTTAAAGTCGCTCCACAACAGAATCTAATTGCTGGTCACCGGTTCGGAAACCACTCAAACTGGCAATGCATTCCCTCGCTCGGTTGCTCCATACCAATAGTTCACTAGACTTTGCGTGGAAGTGTAATCAATAACGCATTTCCAGGAGGAGTTGTTATATGCCGAACTCGCTGTTTGGAATAATTTTGCTTTGTTCTGAGCTATTCGTGGATTGAGTCCTTTGTTAGCAGTTATGCTCAGATTAGATGTTTGCGAAATTTGCGATATTTCACGTGATTGCGTGAACGTCCACATAGATTTCTGTGCGCTGAATTCAGCCATTCTTTCACTGTCCGTTTTCAGGCCCCAGGAAAGGGGACTCAAACTTATCGTTGACTCCGAACAAGCCAAAGACAAGTTCTGGAACCTGCTTGATGAGAAGACAGCTGAGGTTCCGTCACAAGAATCTATAATTGTCGCAGGTGACCTCAATGGGCACGTTGGCGCTACGAACGACGGTTACAGCTGTCACGGTGGTTTTGGATATGGGTCGCGTAACACCGATGGCGAGCGAATTCTCGAGTATGCAGACTCGCACAACCTCGCCATTGTGAACACGAAATTCCGATAACGCGACTCACATCTCATCACCTTCTATAGCGGTAACGAAGCGGTCGCCACGCAACACCGACCACTAATTTGTACGCTAAAGATCGCCCCGCCGAAACCGAAACTAACCGAAAGGTGTGGGCCAGCGAGAATTAAGTGGTGGCGACTGAAAGAAAAAGAAGCGGCCGTCGTTTCCCGCATTCGATTACCAGCGGTAACGACTGTCGACGAAACTTGGAAAGGTGCTGCCGAAGAAATAACTCGGATAGCTCGATCCGAGCTCGGGATGACGAAGCCTGGACGGCGGAGAATTGATATTGGCTGTGGACGGACCAGATCAAAGAGAAGGTGCGCGAAAAGAAGAAGCGGTACCACGCATTTCTTAACGAAAAGACAGCTGATTACTGGCGGAACTATCAGATAGCGAAGAAAGAGGCAAAGAAGGCCGCTGCTTCCGCGAAAGCAGCTCATTTTGCTGACATCAGTAAGAAACTTGAGTCGCGCGATGGTGAGCGGTACGTTTACCGACTTGCAAAGACCCGCCATCGTCAGACCGAGGATATAGAAAAGTTCTTCGGCAAAAATGGCCACCTATTGACGGACCGCAATAAAACACTGTAGCGATGGCGTGACTACTTCGAAAACATCTCAACAGTCGAATTTACTCATCCGGCCATCCCCTGCGCTCCGCCAGTACGCGGACCCGTTCAGAAGATAACCATGGAGGAGACCATCACGGCCATGAAGAAGATGAAATCAGGCAAAGCAACTGGTCCTGACGACTTAGCAGCGGACTTGTGGAAATCAAAATGCTGGAATCCTGCAGAATGGTTGACGGAGGTCTTCAACCAGATCGTTGCAAAGAAGAAGGTGCCTGAAAGCTGGCAACAAAGCACGACGATTCCTATCTGGAAGAAGAAGGGCAGTCTAGGAGACTGCACCAGCTATCGTCCAATTCGCCTGCTCTCGCAGAGCGAGTTGTAGATAACCGTATCCGGGACATCGTCGAGCTCACCGCCAACCAGTGTGCTTTTGTGGCTAGTTGCAGCACTATCGATGCCATACACGCCGCTCGCATTCTGCTAGAAAAGCACCGCGAGAAACAAAGACCGGTGCACCTTGCTTTCCTAGACTTGGAGAAGGCTTTCGACCGCGTTCCGCGCGACTTTATATGGTATGCCTTACGACAGCATGGCGTGCCTGAAGAACTTGTCGAGTGGGTACGCATTCTTTACTCGAGCCCAAAGAGCCGATTGCAAACGGCAGCAGGAACATCGATGGATTTTCCCAGATTATCGGGGTAAATCAAGGCTCTGCATAGCCCCA